CCCCCCCCCCTCCCTTAAGACTTGGACTTGAACTTCTTCCAACATACACTGAGTGCTCACAGGAGAACATAGCTATGAACACAATGGAGCTCAATAGGCCTACTTCAGGATACAATCATGAGGGGTGGGGGAGATTTTAAAAAAGTTGCTCCCACATCCGATCCAGACATAGGAGATTGCCTTGTTATTGAGACAACTTCGTTGGCCTTTGGCATATTGTTGTAGGGTCGCCAGTTCCTTTCCACGCTGCCTTTACTTCCCCAACTCGAAAGTCAGGTACCCATAACTGCTGGGTGGGTTGAAGGGGGCGAAAAAAATCTTTCTCCGAACCAAGGCTTGAACCCGGACTTTCCGCTTTGGAGACGAGCGCACTTATCGTCTTGTCTTGTTGTAATATTTCATTTATAGGGTAGTCTGGATGAGTGTGTGAGCTGTTAGGCTTGCTTTCATTTTTAATTTTAGTGTTTTGTTGTTTTAGGTTTTACTTTTTATTAGTAGTACAGTATTATTTTGGACGAGTGTGGTGATGTTGTTTTAGCGCTTGTGTTTATCCTTCCTCAATAGAAACCCTCAGAAATAACCTGTTACCTTTAATCACCATTCCACCCTTCTGATATATGCACATTTTATAGAACTATCTGTCCACGTGGTTTTATGCACCCCGCATACTATAACAAAATTTTTTCATTTTTTGCTTAATTTCTGATTATTTTCCTTTGCCCTTCTTTGTTAAAATTAACATAATCGGGTAATTTCACATTTTTGGGCTCAGTTTGCATAATTTCAGAATTTCTTTTGCATAAAACCGCGGGGACAGACCTATGGATTTTCAGAGTCATGTTGGGATGTTTTTGTTTCCCTCAGCTTATTTGTGACTTCTTGACTGGATTAATATTATTCAGTTCCATTTTGAGAAATCAAATTCAATCTACTTCTGACGCACTAGCTCTCTGCTTAATCTTTTTTTCGCAAGACTCCAGTTATCTTGGCAAGTCAATGTACACTATTATTCAATAGTATTTAAACCTCATCGTGAAATTTTTGGGGGGTTTGGGGTTTAAAATTTTTTAAAATTTATTTTTAAATTCGTGGAAAGACATGCATAAAATGTAGACATAACAATACATAGATGTTATACAAATAAATATTATAAGCGTAAATTTTCTTTCACGATATAGCTGGTTTATCAATGTATTACCTACATATTATTCCAAATATTACCACTATTTGAAAGATCTATGACTAGATGTAGGTGTTTTAAATGTTTATGTATAGTGTATTTGTTTTTTCAAATTGTTTTATGACGGTGACTAAATGTTGCCAATGGTATTGGTCATCGTTTTTCTTTCCCCCAGTGAAGAAAAGATGACTGAAGCTAAGGTGAGGACATGCAGCAAATGCTTTGCTCAGTTCACAAAGGACAAGGGATGTAACAAGATGATATGCCGCTGTGGAATGAGCATGTGCTACATATGCCGAAAGTCTAAGGTTTGTATCTGTTTATTTGTGTCTGCCTAGCTACATGTGCCGAAAGTCTAAGGTTTGTATCTCGATTCATGTCTGTCTAGTTACATATATTTACCAAAAGTCTAAGATTGGTATCTATTTATTCATGTCTTTCTGTCTCGTTCTATCTGTCTGTACGACTATCTCATCTGTCTGCCTATTGTTCATTTCACAGTGTGCGATAAACTATGGTCTATGATAACACAACTCCTTTACGTCTTACCCACTGTCTTTCTTTCCCTGTCTCTCTATCTTCTCTTTTTCTTTTTCTCTCTCTCTCTCTCTCTCTCACTCTCTCTCACTCTCTCTC